TATTTTGAAGACCCTTGAACGCTTGACAAAGAACCTCGTTCATACCGTTAGCTGCTACGTCAGGTTGGACATTTTCAGGACGATCAGGACAATACTCGAAATCACCTATTGAATACTCGTTTGTATTCACCCAGTCTTGAATGCGGTGCACGGAACTACAACAGTTCGTTGATCTGAATGGTTCGTTCGTATACGGGTTTTATTTAACTTATAAACGGAGAATCAAACACAGCGATAATTATTGGATAACAGATTTTATTGAACTTGAATCAACAGTAGTTGTTAGGATAATGAAAATTTTTGATTGAAGTCTTCCTCATGGCTTACTAGTTTCCAACAAATACCTTTGGGAAAAAAGGGAACCTGGAAGCCAGAAGCAATCGTTTAATTCCATCTCAGTAGTCCTGCTTATTTGACTTTTCATTTTTCTGTTCCATTATCAAACTGTCCTTCAAATAAACCACACGTTAATTGGAAGAGCTCTGCTTTCACTCATAAAAGGTTATGGGCACCTCTACGAGAGAAGTTGTGTGCGGAATTCCGCAGTTCAACGGTGGTTCTGGATTTCAGCACTGGAGCTTCAAAGTCAAGATGTTCCTGGATTCCGTGGGAGTATTGAACACTTTAACTGAAGAAGCACTGGCAGTAGCAGCTGAAAAGGTGAAATTTGAAAAGGCAGACCGGAAGGCCAAGTTATATATTGTCAGCTTCCTGGCGAATGAATGTCTGGCGATCGTCTGCGAGAAGAAGACGGCCAAGGACATGTGGAAGGCGCTCGAGAACACCTTTGCAAGCGGTCAATTAGCACTCAAAACCTGGTGAGAAAGCAGTTGAATCGTCTGAAGTTGAGAGATGGTGATTCGATGAGAGCGCACTTGCTGGTGTTCGAAGACTTGATCCGGCAGCTGAAAACCGCTGAGGCAAAGGGCGAGGAAGCTGATTTGGTCATTTCGCTGTTCCAGACTCTACCGGATGCGTATGACCCCTTGGTGACGGCCTTGGAAAACATTCCTGAGGAAGAGTTGAGTTTGGAGATCGTGAAGCAACGCTTATTGGCGGAAGAGCTGAAAAGAACCGAACGTCACGAAGACTCAGGTGAGATCAAGGCTGCGGCATTTTCTGGAGAGAAGAAACGCAAGTCTATGAAGTTCCAAGGCAAGTGTCACAATTGTCACGTGGCCATTTGAAGAAGGACCGTCGGCAGAAAAGCGGTGAAGCTAAATCGGCATATCAACGAAATGCAGTAAGTTTCATTGCAAGTCGCAAGATTGAAAAGGCACCAAGAGGAAAGGTGGTATTCAAGCTAGATTTGGGTTCAATTTGGGTGACCACCTAGTGAATGATTTGGCAGTATTCTCGGAAATTCGCAAGATGAAGCAACACATTGTGATTCAAGTAGCGAAGGACGGAGAAACACTGGTATCAAAAACGGTTGGAACCATCGTCGGAAGCAGTAACAAGAACACGTCGTTGAACATGAAGGATGTTCTCTATGTCCCCGAGCTTCGCAGCAACCTGATGTCCGTTAAAAAGTTGGTGAAGGCAGGCGTTGTGGTAATTTTCTGCGGTTCCGTTGCGGTTCTCAAGAAAAACAACGAAGTCATTGCTACTGCGAACTTGAGAGGTAACCTGTACGTGATCGAGGTAGACATTCCAGTGTCTTCGGCAAATATGTGTCAAACTGAAGCGACCAATTTGTGGCACCGAAGGCTTGGACACCTGAGTCAACAGGGAATGAAAGCGATCATAAGTAACAATCTGGTGGATGGTGCTGATTTCAGGCAGTCAAGCTGGCGTTCTGTGATGCGTGCGTGCAAGGGAAGCAATGCCGTGAACCATTCAACGGCACACGCCCGAGAGCAACAAGGCCGAAGTCAAGAAGAATTATGACTGCTCGTGACGTGAAGTTTCATGAAACCTGCTTTCCCTACAAAGCTAATCCTGAAAATCAAGCAGATACACCACTCGTTGTAGTACCGTATGAGCAAGAGGGGGAAGTTGTTCGTGATTCAATGGAACCGTCACCTGAAGAGAGACCGATGTCACGTGAGAATACTCCGATTGCTGATGATGCAGACGTTTTGGAGGCGGATGATACCGGAGCGCTCCCTTCGCAACTAGAACAACTCAAGTCCGAAGGACAAGCGATGTTGAGGCGCAGCGAACGGGAGCGTAAGCTCCCCGATAAGTTGTTAAATTTCTTCACCGGTTACAGAGCAACTTCTGCTGGCTCGTATTCCACAGATGCTCCTCAATGCTACAGTGACATCGAAGCCCGCTGCGATCGTATGAAATGGCTGTAGGCTGTTGATGATGAATTGCGATCCATGGAGGCGAACGGTGTGTGGAAGATGACGCCCTGTCCACGTGGCGTGAAACCTGTCAAATCCAAGTGGATATTCCGTGTGAAGGAAGACGAAGATGGCCAGGCCGCTCGATATGAAGCCCGACTAGTAGCGAAGAGCTACCTGCAGCGTTATGGAGTTGACTTCGAGGATACATATGCACCGGTGGTGAAGATACCAACCCCATCCGGACTGTGCTAGCTGTAGGCGTCCACAACCAGTTCCATTTCCATCAGATGGACGTTAAAACTGCCTTCTTGCAGAGGATATCTATATGGATATTCCTGAAGGCGTCCAGGCTCCAGCAAATATGACCTGCAAGTTGCTAAAATCATTGTATGGATTGAAGCAATCTCCACGATTCTGGAATGAAAAATTCAACAGTGAACTAGTCAAGATGGGTTCCAAGCGGTCCCGCCATGATTACTGCCTATACACACGATGCGAAGAAGGAGACGAGCTGTACGTTGTACTATATGTGGACGATTTGCTAATCGCAGGGAGGAAATTGGAATCCATCGCACGTATGAAGGAGAAGCTTTCGACTGTGTTCAGCATGACTAACTGTGGAGAAGCACGCCGATTTCTTGGAATGAAGATAGCGTACGATCGGCAAACAGGAGTTCTTCAACTTTCGCAAGAGGCGCACGTGGCAAGAGTCTTGGAGCGTTTTGGACTGGCTGAATGCAATCCAGCTAAGTCACCAACGGAGAAGGGACTGCAATTGCAACGAGAGGGGACGCCAACTGAAGAACCCTACACGGAGCTACTAGGCAGTTTAATGTATATTATGCTGTGCGTTCGGCCGGACATCTGTTTTCCAGTAGGGTATCTGGATTTACTGATGCTGACTGGGCGGCCGACAATGAAAATCGAAAATCAGTCACGGGATACGTCTTTAAGGTGTTTGGATCAACGGTATCATGGTGCAGCAAGAAGCAAACTACAGTTGCTATTTCGTCAAGTGAATCCGAGTATGTAGCTCTGAACGCCGCTACTGCAGAATCCCTGTGGTTATCTGGAGTACTTGAAGATATGAAGGCCAAGGATCCGAAAACACCTGTCACCATATTCAAGGACAACAGAGGCTATATTGGAATGGCGAATAACTTGGAGATGAAACGAAGCAAAAACATTGATGTTAAACACCGTTTCATCAGGGATCATATTACCGAAGGACGCATCCAAGTGGAATCTATTGGTACTCGCGAACAATTAGCTGACATATTCACCAAGCCATTGGACTCTGGACGCTTTCAAGAACTACGGATGAGTCTAGGGCCTGCTTATTTGACTTTTCATTTTTCTGTTCCATTATCAAACTGTCCTTCAAATAAACCACACGTTAATTGAAAGAGCTCTGCTTTCTCTCATAAAAAAGACTACCATTTTTAAACAGATTGGAAGTGGACAAAAGTGAAAAGTATTCTAGGGAGAATTATCATCCGTCGATTATTCAACCGTGCAAAGGAAATTTTGATGATTTCGGACTAAAGTTTTACCTGAAATGGCCTTGATGTCATTTAAGAAGAAGTTCTAAAAAAAGGTTATGAATATCCCCTTGGAATCCACTAGGAACTCTTCATCAAGTTTGTAATCTTAATATATGAGTCTTCGACTAGATTCATTACTTTTGAAGCGAAGGCGGTCGTCGAAAAAAAAACGCATTTTGTTTTGATCTATTTGTGAGTTCTTGTGCACTTGTCTAATGCTTATCAGTACCTACACGGCCAATGAGATCAACCCAAATTGTAGTTCAGTTTACTCACAAATCGCAAAAAGTGCAGGAGCTCAGCTTTCCATGTTTTTCCAGGAAAAAAATCCCGAACATGAGAAATGTAAAGTTTGGTACTACTTCTGGACTGAGTAAAATTTTCGTCAATTTTTCTCATCTTCCAGCAGATTTTTTGGGTTTTCCACAGGAAAACATGAAGCAAATTTGCTCATCACTGAGTTCCTGCATTTTTTGCGATTTATGAGTAAACTGAACTCAAATTTGGGTTGATCTTATCGGCCGTGTATAGGTAAAAAGAAAAAAAAACTTTTTCGAAGGTTTAAATCAAAGCAGCCTGGTCCCGACAGAAATAACTTCATACTTCGTACCAATATGTAAACCCAAAGCAGTGCCTACGTGCCCAAATGGTATTACCCGACATTCGTATCAGTATGTCCATGTGTTTTCCCTGATATGAATAGCTCAGCATAAGAAATAAACAAAGCCATTCCACTGATAAGCGTTGCATCATGAAACAAATTTATACAACAGTTGATTCGTTTATATTTTTTTCAAGAAGCCCTATTATCACTATTCTCCGTCTCCGTCATTCCACACACGCATCCTATGTCGGCGAACCACAACAAGGCAACAGGCGATGAAAGTGAAACCGCACCGCCTCCTAGACCTGAGGACAACAACAAAAAAACCAAAATCACTCTCGCATTACGCTGATTATTTCCATCCACGGTTTCTTTCACCGGCACACATGCAAACAACAAATAATGCCACTGAATAATTCCGAACGACGACTCACGTGACCAGAAACTTCATTGGAATCCAAAACACCATCCCTGATACAATTTTCCACCTCACGCAACATTCATCGTTTACAACATTCTTCCTCCTTCTAATCGTCCTTCCCATTTTCCCCCCGGCAGCCGTGTCATCCTGTCCTACTTGGTCTCGGCGTACGGCAAGGACGAGAACCTCTATCCGAAAGATTTCCGCTCGCGTGCCGTGGTGGACCAGCGGCTGCACTTTGACCTGGGAACCCTGTACCAGCGCGTCGTGGACTACTTTGTGAGCCTCTCGCAGCTGTGTTGCTAGTTTACTTATTTACTGAGCGTATTGTCTGTCGGTTTCAACAGTTCCCCACCATCATGATGGGTGCCCATCTGGATCAAACGAAGAAGGCCAAACTGGCGGAGGCTCTGGGCTGGTTCGATGCGATGCTCAAACAGTACCAGTGGGCGGCGGCCAATCACTTCACGATAGCGGACGTGGCCCTGTGCGTGACCGTATCCCAAATCGAAGCGTTCGAGTTCGACCTGCATCCGTACCCGCGGGTTCGAGCGTGGCTCACCAAATGCAAAGAGGAACTGGAACCGCACGGTTACAAGGTCTGTATATCTGAGATTGGATTCCGCTGTCGAATCGAAATAAACTTGTTTTTTTTTTCACAGGAAATTAATCAAACCGGAGCGGAAACACTAGCCGGACTGTTTCGAGCGAAACTCAAGCAATAGTACTGCCAGGTGGAGTTCATCTTGGTACAACAGGAACAACAGGGGAGCAACAGTGTCAAACGGAAGTGTTGGTAGCAGCGCGGATGCAGTGGATCTAGTGTTTAACATTTTGAATTTCGAGTATGCTTCATCAGTGGGACAATTTCACTTGCATTTAGTAGGAATGAAACGAGCAACGTAGGGGGGCACCATATCATATCATACACAAACTATATAGAAACTACACAGAAATACAATTTTAAATGTAGATTATAAAGTGTTTGAAACCTCGCTGTAAACTTAATAAATGCATAAATGTTTCAACGGATTGAACTTTAATTGTTTGATTATGAAGTTTCCCAGTCAACAGACTGACTTCAGTTCGTTTCATCGTAGGTAATCGGTATCATTTGGTCATTGCCGCGCAAATATTATCATTTACTCAGTTGGTTAAAAGCCAACAAACATGGAATTATGAACGATAAGTACACTTCCCTTATTTGCATTGTGCGCAAATCATTGAAGTGCTCTGCACATAATTTGTGCTTCATCATTGTAGAATTTGTTCGTTTTATCACTGTGCGGGTATTTCCATGTTGACTATTTACCAGCAGTGGTAATTTTAGATATGGTTACTCACTGATTCTTCATATGTAGGGTAAAACGAAAACGCTGGGTCATTTTACCCCAGAAGGAGCGTATTATACCATTTTACCCTACGCCCTCTTTAAGAAGCTATGGGTGCTTGTAACTTTGCAATATACACAAAATGTAGTTCCTTCTAGTTAAAACTAGGCTACGGGTAAATTTGTCTACTAGACTGATGCAAAATTTGAGATTTTCGCTCCACAGTGCTTAAATGGTTTCAAATCGGGTCCTGATTAGCCTCCCAAAGTTACAACTCATTTGGTTAGAAACAGACTTCACACAAGCCATTTGAAGTTTACATCTAAATTACTATGGGAATTCTCAACTTTTTGTTCATTGCCTCTTAGTATTTTTCCATATTGAGCTGCAAAACAGTTCGATGGCCATTCTTATAGAAAATTTTCTCAGCTACAACTTTACTGAAGATCGTTTCTATGTAAAACGAGACAGGAAAAAGTTATTAATTATTTAAGAGATTGGTAAACTTATGACATGATCAAGCAGCTGCTCTGTAGGCAACACTGTATTTTGCAGTGTGACATAGTAGCCATGATTTTTGTGTCCTATTCAACGCCCCAGAAACACCAATGTTGCCTGCTGAGCAGTTGATTGAGCATGATCATAAGACATCAGCGCATTGATAACTTTCGATCCTTGCATTTATTCAAAAAGTGGTCTTGAGCAAAGTTGTAGCTGGGAAAATTTCCTACAAGTACAGTTGAAAGATTTTGAAGCATACCGATATAGTGAATTATTAGATAGACATGAACAAAAATCTTGGTTTTACCATAGTAATTCTCATATAAATCTCAAATGGTTTGTGCCTTCTCAGTCTCTTACCAAATGGGTTCAAATTTTGAGAGGTTAGTCAGGATACGATTTAGAATCGATTAAGTATTGTGGAGCGAAAATTTCAAATTTTGCATCACTCTATTGTCTAATATCATAAAACGTTTTTTTTTTTATTATAGTCACTTAAACACATTCTGGGTCATTCGTGAGACAACATCTCGCAACCTGTGACCCACCAGGAGCTGAGTTCGGACCACTATCCGCTGGTGGCCAATGAAGGCTCATCCGTCAACCGATTCCAAGCTTCCCGACGCAACTACCATCGCGTCAGCTGGGATCAGTTCCAACACTGTGTCGACTCCACTATCGACTACGGTGTCCATCCGGAGACGCCCGAAGACGTTGACCGGTGTCTGCGTTCCATCGAGGAGGCGATTTATTGAAAAATATCAAATACGCCATTTTGAAAATTTAGCCGAGAGTCAAAATGACGGAATTCCAGCACAAACTTGGTTCATTGGCCGCAGCAAACAATTAAGCTAAGTTTCATGGAATTCCGAGAGGTTATCATCTCGAATGTGTGAAAAAAATTAAGTTTGCATCTCATTTTTAGGGGGATTAATCACAAAACTAATATGTGCAAAAGATGAAGCATCAACTTTGCTTAAGATGTCATATCACTCTAAATCGAAGTTTTCATGGTGATATTAATTAAAAGCGTAAAAATGGACTTTTAAACCATTCCCTAATAAATTTGTATAATAAATTTGTGGAATAGTTCAATTATTTGGGTTATCGTTCGCTCATGATTATTTTTTATTAGGGTTGTGCATTGAAATAACGTTACAGGCAAAATTTACACACTTACCCTATCGAGCAATCAAAGTCAAGGAAAGTCATCTTATTTTTGGACCGAAAAAATGTGTTGAATTAAGTTCAACAACAACAACAACAAAACATCACTGAATGTTTTGAAAACCTCTTACAAAATTCAACCCTGAATTCGAGCAGTTTAAAACACCTCCTGGAAGCCGGTTTGTTCCCTTCCCTCGTGTAGGTGTGATGTCTACAAACATTGTACAGAAATACCTACACCGAACAAAACCAAATAAAAAAAAGAGAATCACAAATATCAACTTGTCAGCCGGGCGCGGTCGTATCTCCTTCACGACACAGCGAACTCAAACATTCATTTGTTGGCTTTATTTTTTTTTCTCGCGATGCCGGCAAACAAAAACTGAAAATAACAAAATCACGCACATCATCATCACTCGCTCCGGTTCAAGAAACCTCGAGCAACGATGCGGCGTTTGGATTGATAATGGCACCACACTTGTATGATTCTTCTTCAGCTACTGACTAATACACTCTACTATAACAGTAACTTTCTACGGCCCGTCCGTCCGTCCATAAGTGCAGTCAAGTATTGAAACTCGGACAAATGTTAAGTAAACCGCCACCAGGCATGTCAAGGTCCTTTTAATAGCAGCAGAGTTGAATCAAATCGCCAGCATAGGTTCAACTGTATTTCTTGACTGGTTAGTAGTCCATGAAATTGACTTCCCGCAAACATGTTCAGAGTGAAGCAAGCACTTGCTTGGATGCATGTTAGGGTGCCAAAATAAAAAAAGGGAAACTTGAATTTTCAAAAACCTATCATATGCAAAATGTTTATTACCTTGCAAAAAGATCCTGTGCTTGATATAGCCGTGGCGCAAAATCCCAAATTTGAGTTTTTTTAAACCGAAAAATCCTGTTGAAGATTTTAATAGGGGAAATGGATGTAATGTCAGCCTAAATACCCCTAATTTGGGCCCATACATAAATTCAGCAATCGACTAAATTTTCAATAGCGACCAAAAATATCCATTAGTACCGTCCCAATGACGCGTTCATCTAGATAAAATTGATAACTAGCAGATTTTTAGCGATGGGCCCAATCTTAGATCCATAGGCCAACATTAGAGCCATTTCGCCTAGTTTTTCATTTCATTATTTGACATCAAATTAAGATTTAGTACACTCAGCTGCCTTAGATAGCCGTTTTTGCTACTAAGTAGAAAATTGAGGAATCAAACACAGGCCCCTTCATTGTAAGGAGTTTAATCGTCGTTGTCGCCGGTGCCGGATTTGAATGATTACAACAACAACTCGATCATAAGTGATATGAGGGGCTCGGTGGCCTTAGAACGACCGAGCAGTTAATCATGGGTTAAATCTCAGGCCCCATACACATTGCAGATTCGTTAGTCGCTTTCTTTTATAACATAAACCCATCACTAAGGTGATACTCTGAGGAAGCCTTAGCGTGAAACTTTAAAGGCACACATGTCAGCTTCCACAAAACATACAAATTTTAAATTGCTACTCCTTGTTTGCTGTGCTAACAACCGTTTGCCAAAACAGACCCTGCTACAAACCAGACCCTTTTATCCAATATCCCAGTGATTTGCCGTGGAAGTGTAGAGAATTTCCCTGCTTTCAACAAAGCGAGTATCACATCAACACATTCCTACCTATTCCTTTCTTGACCTGCGTTCGGGTGCGGCCAGCCTATTATAAAGTTTGAGATCACCAGTTTTTAAACCTTTAGGATGTATGATAGTCTCAAGCATCATCTGTTGGTTCACTGCGTAGTTACAGCTGATCTGGCAATAACGAAGCAGCCACCGCGTGTGGACATTCATGCTCATTAAAGTGTCCCAAAATAGCATTTGATCGTGAATCCGTCGGGCTAAAACAAAGATGCATCAAAGTAAATTGAGCCTTAATACAACAAAAAGACTATTGCCTAGCAACTGTAGTCTAGCAAAGTTATGTAAGCACCAAGGCAGAACGCCCACTAGGATTGGCAAGAGAATTGAACTAGTACGGTCCAACTACTAATCCTCAAAATCACCATTGGCCGTAGCAAAGATTAGAAAACTTCAAAATAATTCTTCAAAGAAATGTGTCATTGATTAGTTACTAGCCGAAAATAACAATTAGATTTATTATGTTGATAAACATAACCTTCCACTGAGAAAATATTAAGAATTTAAAAATACTTGCAAACATTTGAATATATTAGTGAGATCTCAACAAAGGACCATATTTGCTTCGGCAAAGTTGTTCGTCATTGTTCGATTGATGATAACATTATGTTAAAATCCCACTTTTTTCAATTAAAAGCCATAATGTACCAAAAGAATAATCGTTTAAGAGAATTACAAAAAAAAAATATAACAATTTTACATAAAACATTCTATGACTTTTTTATAGTTTGGACCCTACGGAATCTGTAAAACAAAAAATTAAAAGGGCTAGGTTTCACAAGTTTTTAGAGCATTAGAAATATCTTTTTGATGTAAGCTAAAAAAAAAGGATTTTTTTTTAAACTCAATTTTGAAACCTCTAAACAACATTTTCCAGAGTTGCCGTCATACAAAAGTTTGTTTGTAACACTCTAAGCTATCATTTGGAGGGTGTCAGTCAGTGTCACGACCAAATGCTATTTTGAACAACCATTAGCTCATGCGCATGCTTTTGACATAAATAGTAACTAGGCTGGTCTTCTTTTTTCAAAATCAAAATT